TTCGCAATAATTTGACTCGGGTTCAAATAATATTTCCTTTTTATTTGTTTTATTAGCATACACTTATAGTAGCTGATCCTTCAGGTCTCATTGATGCTCCTACTATTGTAGGTCCCAAGAAAAATGCACCTGTACTGTTCAGAGGTGTTGGGTAAGTTATTTATAGTTATTGTCAGATTTAAATCGGGCATTACTTACATACACTGAACATCATATAACCTTGATTCTTGTTACCTGCTTTTATAAATTGGATTTAGATAATGTTTTGTTTCAAGAATTGCTGCTTTGGAGACGCATCTTTGACATGCTTTGTCATGTGACACATATCTACACACACTGACTACCATTATGCCAAAACAGTTTATGTTCTGTGACTGTTATGTCAACTTTTAACCATAAACTGTATTGTTTGTATTGTGCAGTATGACAGCAGATCCAGAAAATGAATTGGCATTGGATGTATTACATGCATCATCTTCATCATATTCTTTTTTTCCAGATGAAAAAATAAGTGAGGTAAGTTAGAAGTTTAGAAATTGTGCTCTCTCCTGAACAAGTTTTAAGTATCTTACCAAATCCGCTTGCATATGAATCTTTTGATTTGATTTGCAGTACAATGGACAAGATAAAATTAATCAATGTTTGTGTAAATAGTTTATTATAAGGATAGCATCCATTCAGCCAAACCTGTTTTATAGTAAATAATTATGGGTATCCATCAAGACCATTTTTTATTCCAACGTTATAGGAGACATCAAACATGAGTTGAAGAAAAACAAAGGTCGTAGTGGCGTCAAAACATCACCCGACATTTAACAGACACAAAAGTATTTTTGAGGGCATTTTCAAGCTAAATGTGCTAAACACATTTGATGATGCTCAATTTCAATAAAGTGAAGAAATCTCAATGCCATAATATAAATAAGATTGGCTTTTCGAATTACAACGTTCAGTTCATAGCGTAGATAATGCTTGACATGCAAGATCCCGCAGTGAGCAGAAAATCACCTTGCTATAGCAAACATTTTTTTTATCTAAAGCATAGCAATTAGGTATAATTTTTATGGTGTTCGAAAGTTTGTGAAGTTATAAGAAGTCAAGACTTTTCAGCCATGTGCACATTTTATATGATACTGTTAAAGTTTGTATGCATGGCTAATGACAAATAAAAACTGATTAATATCTGTATTT